TCTTCGAGTTTGTGTGACAAAAGATTAGACATAAATGATCATCGTTGGTGAAATGCAAATCTTCTTCTTGTGTTTTTTCATCGGTGCAGCCAGTGTATGCCCATCTTCTCGCTGCTCACAGATTGTTGCATGATCTGGTCCAGTCGACCACATTCAGGAAGATGATCGGTGATGGTAGGCAGCAACCTTGTCTTACTCCTGTCGTCAAGATAATAAGTAATATTTAGTGAACTGAAAGATTATAAATCATCGTTATGGCTATGAAGGTAAAGCAGAAGCTCAACGGTATAGGAATTTAGTTTTTCCGATCGATGGGTTATGGGTTCGAAATCCACTCCACCTACTAAGATTTAGATTGCTAGGCAGGATTACTCTAGTCATCACACAATAGATGAAGCTCATTGCTTACTGCATGAATGAACACAAGATTACTGAATTACTATGAAGGTAACCGGAAGGGAATAACACTAGTAACCACGAGAAGTAGAATTTTTAATGATTTTTTTATATTTCACACATTTTTGAGACGCGAATAAAACAATCCTGTAGGCGATAAAACAACTCGGTCAGTCAAACAAACAAAGAAGGAGAGAACAACGTAGAGGCCTGTACGAAAGTTAGTCTGTTCATTTCTGGATACCTTTTAAAAACCACACAAATAACTAACCCGTACAAGTATAAGTATTTCTAAATGAAAGCACAAGGAAATATTAAAAAAGTCCCTTCGGAGATTTGAATAAAACGTCTGTTCTCTTCTGACAAAGACTTGGATACATGCCAGCTGACATTTGGCAAATTATTACAAACATTTTAGCATCTTATGAAATCTAAACGCAATACAATAAGACCATACTATTGCACAATAGTTTTGGGTAAAGAAGAACTTTTAATGTTGTTTATCTGAAAGGTGTATTTGCGCATACATTTCGAACAGTCTAGTTATACACTTATCTGCCATGCATATTTATATGAAATGTAGCAAAGGATAAATGGGTTCGAAGAATAGTCGATATAATAAAGAGTTGAATTATCAGTTCAGAAGTCGAATCGTAAGTGAAAAGAGAAAAAAAACAGTATTAATCACCACTGGTAGTAAAGTTGAGTTACCAAGGCTGGTTTAATAAATAAATAAGTTAGAGGTAGTATTCATCACGGACTGACATCAGTTGGGGAACCATTTAAAATCTGGGAGCACTGGACAGTTGTTTCGTTCTAGTATAGGACTCCTCAGCAGTGAATTGATAGAAGTTGGAAATTGTGAACCACTGAAAATCAACCTAGTGGCTGGATGGTTAACGCGTTCGCCGTGAAACCTGAAGGTCCTGAGTTCGATCCCTAGCCGGGTCATGGGTGAGTACTGCTGAGGAGTCCCATACTGGGACGAAACAGCTGCCCAGTGCTCCCAGATTTCCAATGGTTCCCCAACTGATGTCAGTCCGTGATGAATACTACCTCTAAATTAAAAATCCCGATTCATCTCAAAATTAAATAAATAAGTATTTTATTCTCACATTGGGAATTTAACATGAAGGAAAGCAGTTTACAGGCATCATCACATTGATATAAGTTGAAAAATCCACAATATTTTACAGGTACAGATGAGAGGTCATTAAATTTCATTAAAAACATCAGAAGATTCTGCTAGTCATGAAACGAATAAGGAAATATCACTATACAGAGTATTAAAGTTTAGATTGTTTTCAGTCATACTTTTTTCACTATAGGTGACACCAAGGTCACACAAAATTCCAAAAGCAGTCGACATGTTTGGCTCATCTTCATAGGGCCACGTTACACCAGATAAACGTTTATTTTACTATGAATTCTTATGCTCATAGCTTCAGAGACCAAAATGACCTAAACTGACGATTTCGAAAATCAGTAAGTTCCCAGATAATTATATAATCCAAGTGAATATCTATGTCCAAGTATTTCTTTCTCTTCAACCGGTACAGTTCACAGTAATATAAATTTACGCCATTAGAATTAGATGCTGTAGTGCAAAGGAATAAACATTTGAAGAACTGTAGACCAATGACAATGGCTTTTACATACTGTTCACGTTAAGGTGTGCAGCAATATCAAGAAGGCATATTCACTGTTAAATGAAGTACTAGAGATCTCATAGATTTAACTGTCTGTCCAGATTTTTGTTGCAGCAAATTGTTTCTGAATGCATAAAACAATTCCGAACTTCATTAGAGTTGAAGTTTCAAAAAAAAATACCTAAGTTTATATCTCTAACAGGCTTTATCTATTAGCTTGGAAGATGTGTACAACTGAATCTTGTGACCCGTTTTGATGATATGTTTGGCTATAGACGAAGTTGCATATCTATTATTCACATTAGCGTGATCATTTGCTTTCATTTGTTGCTGCAGCCATTTTTAAATGTGCTTCCTAACCTCTACTTGTCTAGATCGACGGATTCGCCTTTATACACCTAAGCAGTATCATAGTTAGATTCCAGAGTGAAGAGGTCAATTAGTTCCTTCTCTATTTACAGTCAGTAGGTGACAACACACTGAAACTGGTGATTTGAGACAAAACCTAAGACATATCAGTTACGTGAAATCCTGATCACACTTAATAATTATTTTAAGATTTTTTTTTAAAACTCTGCAGTTAAGGTACCTGTCTGTCTTGATAGAACAAAGATAACCGTAAAAATAAACACAAAATAGTTGTTGTATATGACATTGAATTGATAAAAGATGGAGGATACAGTTAAGAAATTTCTGTTACTATGTGAGTGAATTCATTCACCGCTGACTTTTTGTACCATTAAATCACTACGCATAAACACATACACACACACACACACACACACACACAAAATGTGAGTCCACTTCCATCTACTGTAATTAAAACAAACTGTTTGAGGGTGTTGAGAATACTATGTCGTTGCTCAGTAGCTGAGATATAAATATCTTAACCGATAATCGACAGATTCATGCAATTTAACTTTTTGCATTCAATGCTTAATATCGGTAAACAGAAGAATTTATGTGGCATGGATCCCGTGCCAACTAGCACATCTACAAACTTGAACCAAATCATATCAGCTTAGGAATTCAAGTGGAGCTGTGGCTCATTAGTTTAAGGAGTTGATTTTTAATGACATTCCCGAAACAGCTCCGAAGGAAGTGTGTCATGATGGTGTAGACCTACTACCCACAGAATAGTTGTTCTACCCTAAATATGAGGACGATATCGTCTTACTATGAGATAACACACAGACGTCTCAAGTCGCACTGAATCAGTTGACGATTAGTGTCCGTAAATATGGTATGTACTTTGCCCCATTAAAGTGCCGTGGTGGTGAGCCGTTGGAAGTAGTCGAAAAGTTCGTGTATCTAGGTAGCTGTATGAGTGCTGGTCGAGGTGTGAATGGTGAAATTTCCAACTGTATATCGAAAGTCAGAGTGGTGTACGTCAATCTGGGTCACCCTTGGCGTCGTCGCGGAGTTAGTTTGACCGTAAGCAGTGTGTGAGCAGTTCTGTTCTATGCCTGTGAAACCTGACCTCCGAGCTAAGGATACGCGGCAACTTTGTGTGTTCGATCACCGTTGTCTTAGCAGGATTGCTCGTATCCAACATCATTGTGTAAGTAATTCTGAGGTACGACAGCGTGTGTTCCGGCATGATGGAGATCGTCACTTAATAAGTGAAGTCATATGGAAACACTGGCTTCCGTGGCTTCAATATGTGTTATCCATGTCATCTCAACGGCTTCCATACCAAAACTGGGACTGAATGGAAGAAAAGGAGGGGTGGTCAGCGTATGACGTGGCGTTGTGCGATGAAGGATAGTTGTATCGGGTTAGCACCTGTTGGTACATCACGACTCCCTGGGTGGGGTCAGAGAGATCACGCAACTCAGTGCCTTGAGATGTTACCAGATATGGCTCAGAATCGAAACCAATGGTGGTCACATACTATAGATTTCTTTTATCTTCAGATTGTAAAAAGTAATGAATGTTTCGTTTCGACCGTCATTCTACTCAATCTATTCTTATTGTGTTTTGTTTTTATCAACTTCCCAGGGTGTGGCGCATCATCTATTGCATGAATGTGCAAAAGATTGCTGAGTGGATTTCATTCTGAGAGATTCAAGTCTTTTCCACTCAGTTTGAAAATCAAGTTAACTTACACCAAAAATGCACATACATCAGTAACTGGATGTCAATCAATAAAGTTGTTACAGTCTTATTAAAAATTATTATAGTCTATCAACTAAAGTTTCTTATCCTTTGAACATATACAAATTTAAACAAATCAAAGCAAAGAGTAAAGAAATGAGTCAAGCGATTAGATGATGCAAATGAACATTGTTTTGTGAAGAATTATACTATTTAGAAGATTCCACTTCTTATCATTGTACAGATTTTTTAAAAAAAAGGTTTGGTGACATAAAAGCTAAGCATGATAGATAAGTGAAATACGAAGAGAAGTTGGTCAAGAAAACAAGCTTCTGTCATTGATTTATCTGTAAGTGAAAAAGAAGTAAACAATATGTGCTTTTCTTTCTTAGTTTATCACTTTCTTAGTTGCCCTGACTACCCTATTTTCTTATGACATGAGTAAACAAAATTTTGATAAGGTGAAAATATCCTGAATGAGGTGATAAACAAATCATTAAAAAAAACGTGAATAATTTACACCACTTTCTGTAAACATATAATAAACAAGATAATCACTCATAATCATAATCACACTAAGATGATAGAGCACTTTGATAATAGAAGAGGATAAAATTAGCAGGATGGCTTAATTCGTAAAGTCTTTGAGGTGATTCAAGGCACTAACCAACATGAACTTTAAAAAATGAAGTTAGCTATGAGGAATTGTCCACAAGTGACGTAACATCGAGTCATGATGACCTGAAATTCAATTGGTTGTTTTCAGTATTTATATTGATGTCGTTTACATGTTTTCAAAAGTTTTACAAGTTTTCACTTTAAATTGTTTACAAATTATACAGTCGGTGATAATAACAACGACAAAAAAGACAACTAATCACATTCCATGTCATCAGAACAAGCATAACAGGAAAACTTTATTTGTATTAAAAAGGTATAGTGACGACACTTTTCTTATATGCGACGAAACATGTTCAGTGGATGAGCTGCTAAGACATATAAATGATTGCTACCCGTCCATTAAATTCACTGTAGAGGTAGAGTTAAATTCAACGTTCCACTTTCTAGACGTAATCTTAAAGAGAAGGGATAATGACTAGATTCAGTTTATCAAAAAGCAACCTGGACTGGACAGTTCACTTTAATGGTTGGGTACCTCTTAGTTGTAAAAGAAATTTCATTCACTCACTGTGTTCCAGAATCTATAAAATCTGTTCAGAAGATACGGTGGATGTTGAAATTGAAACTCTTAGAACAATACTATCGAATAAAGGATACCCTAAGGGAATTATTGATAAGAATCTGAAGAAACGAACCACTCCCCATCCTATTAGAGTCCCTAAGAAAATTTTAACCGTGAAACTAGAATTCAAAGGAGACACCACGGCTGGAGCGCTGAAAAACCGTCTATCAAGGTCTATCAATAGTGACTTTTATGCTGCTAGACTGAGACTGATTTTCTCCAGTCGCCGTCTGAGTGAAGGATAACCTACCACTTATGTCCACGTCTATGTGTATCTACAAATTCACATGTCCCTGTGGAGCTGACTATATTGAACGTTGTGAGTGGGTCCTTCGAAAACATGTTGCTGAACATTATACGATTTGGCTTACCAAAGGTGTGCGAAGAAAAACAACTTCATCCACATGTAAGCACCTAGTAGAATTCGGTTATTCAGCACCTCGAGATTCATCCTTGTAAGTAATTGATAAAGTTAAATTGAACTAATCCAAAGGTCCACGTTTCCACCACCTATGCATGCTGAATCATTAACTATACATGAACAAAAACCGAAACTTTGCACTCGAAAACGTTTTGTGAAACCACTTTCTCTACCTTAGCCTTAACAATTCATTTTGGTTATTTTGTCACTTTCATTTCACTTCACTCTGGTACACTTCTCTGTTATCATCACCGTCATCATCACCAATTTTCACTTCATTCACAACATTTGACCCATATTTCACTATTTAATATCAATTCGTACCTTATTCAGCGACCGATTTTCTATTTCTTCCATATGAACAAATACCACCACCAACACCAATTGTATATTTTGTATATTGACTGAGCAACTTTTTAGTGCAATTCTGTCATTTTACCGAGTAGCAATACAACTGTACAGCTTGATAATGAAGTCGTTGAAAGGGAATATATCTTCGCTAATACATGTCTTGTTCTTATTCATGAATAAATGGGTATATTTTGTCAACAGGAGAGTTGCCAAAAAATTCATTTTCTGTTAATTTATTTTTGATGTGATCATTTCAGCTTAAATGAAAATGAAAGCTTCAAATGACGAGACGAAACGTACTCAGCTACCTTGTGCACATCAGCACAGTAGGCAATGAGTCAACATTTACTACCTGACTCCACAAACCTCGGTATGTGGATCGGGGGCTAAAACCCGTGATCGAATAGTAGACAGTTATCTCCCTAAATCACTGAGCCACAGCTACACAATGAAAGCTTCATGACTAAAACATCCAAATTCGAAGAATGCAACACCGCTATAGCGTAAGCATATGGTATATGCATCCAGTAGAAATTCAGTCGAACTACTTGATGAATTGGTTTCATTAATTTTGTATGTTTTGAAGAGGATTGGTAACAGCAAGGCATTGAGAAGAATAGTTGACCACCGATCATTCTGTTGGTTTGTTCATTAAGAGTACATAAACGTATTCAAGAAAATAACGCTTATATATAATTAATGATTTGCTTACAGTTCCAAAGATTTCATCAGTTATGTAAATAAATTTTAGTTAAGGTAAGTAAATCAAGCCATAAAGATGGTATACTGAGATAACCGAATTATCAACCTATTTTATTCATATCAGTAAGCCATATTGATTAGAGTAAGAAAAACTGGGTAAAAAAGGTTCAGAATGCCTACACAAGTAAATTGAACAGGTTGGTAGAGAACCGAGCCAGTGATATAGACACTATTGTTTCGGATCCTGAAACAACCCTTCAAACAGTCTGCTAAACCACGATTATCTCAGATTGTCTCATCAACAAACTAGCTGCTGAAAGCTTTGACTAGTAGTCTCTGCGTTGGGTTAACTCACTGATTTCGACAAGTAAGAGGAAAATGAGATCCTTAGAGGCGAAAGTTTATACCATTCAAAATCAATCACATTCTTCATTCTATGTCTGCTATGAATAATGGAAGTCTAATAATCTTATACTTGGTTTATTCTCATTCTGAGTTGTTACCTTCTTACATAGTTCCTTAATAGGGTTTCTGTAACTTATACTGATATGAGTATGCTTATATCTTATAATCTACTTGCTTGGGGCTAGCAGAGGAATCCAGAACGCGCGTTTCGTTTCATTTAGGACTCAGTGGTCGAGTGGATAACGCCCTGGCGTTTGAAGCGATGGCTACGAGGTCCGAGTCTCAGTGGGAACAACACTCACTGGGGTGCGGATGTATCCCAGCTGATGAAACACACATCCTAGATTCCTCTGCTAGTCACGATCAAGTAAATTACCATAATAAATATTCAGATAATATCAAACCATCCTTATAGGAGCCTATATGCCAACAGAGGTCGAATAATCCAACCCAGTATAACAGCGGAGAATTACAAGTATGTCAACAAATAGTAATATATTATAAAGTATTATTGTTGAGTTGATCTGTAGTATAGCGATATACAACGAAACAATAGTGTGTCACATTTGATTTCACTGTATTACCGTTTGTTGGATACTGGTTAAATTCTTTGAAAAAAATGTTGGAGGGACGGTTTGGTTCTTAGAAAATGAATGGGGAACACTGTACAGACAAACTCTTGCACTATACATCAAGCATTCCTTATATAATTATAAAGTATAATGTATTTTGATAAGGAATCTCTGTAAATAACTTTTAGCTCATTATCTACCTCTCCTGACAGCAAATACAAGGGGATAGGTCTTCCGGAATTGTTAGGATCAAATATTAAGGATTACATTAAAAAAAGAAAATTAACACTTAAAGTTGTCTGTAAACTAGAAGAAAAGCGAATTGAAAATTATATTTCTCCTTCTCTTCTAGTCTATCAGCCAGTGAAATTCGAAGGTACCTAATTATGATCTGTGAAAGCGACACTTTCTGGTCATGAGAAAGAAATAAGCCAGAAAATTATTTCAGATTCCACTGAATATTACAGTTAAATTTCAACACAATCACACCAAACAACAAATAATCTGATTGATCATATATGAACTTGTCGAATAATTTATATAAAAACCAGTGGAATTATAATTTGGAAGAAAGATAACAAGAGCAGAACGAAAACAAAAGAGGAAAAATGATAATTAATAAAAGGTTAAGTCACCACCACCATCATGAAGGAGTGAACTTAATACTACCAAGGTAGTAGTTTTGGCATCACCAAATTTCATGAAAAGACTAGGAAAGATTTAGACAAATCTTAGATTATTGACTATGTAAATGTCTTTCCGGTTAATTCTGACAAATTCCTGACTAATTTATCTTTTGTTCAGTTATCTCTTCAATAAAAGGAGGTACTTCCACTTGGATTTTATTTTTATTTTCCTCCAGTACAAATTTCTAATCTAGTGACCTACGCCCAGTTTGAAAATCTTTATGATCGGTTAAATTTACTTGTTCCAACTTCTCCAGATAATCAGAGTTGGCTTAAAGCAAAATTAGTAGATATTGCTCACCAATTCCATAATTCGCAACTGAGCCATTTAAGTATCTTAACTCCTCAAAGCATTAAAAGGATTGCGAAATAATCCTGATATTATTATGCTTAAGGCCGATAAAGGGTCATTGATTATTATGAATAAATCGGATTATAAATGTAAAATGTTATTGATTCTCAGCGATGAAAGCAAATTTATGGCAGACGTTCCCCCTTAGATAATACGTAGATTGGAAGAAAAAGTAAATTCGATCCTACTGGAACTATTCAACATGAATGCTATAGACAAAGAGGATTTCAATTATTTGAAACCTATGGGATCTAGGTATACATTTGTCCAATATTGTCTATGTGTTAGCTACTCATACCTAAACTAGCAAAAAGGTTGGCAAAACTCTTGAATACTATTAAAAGTCAGGTTTGTAAGTTTTCCTTGAAAGATGCATTTTGAACTTATTGGCCAATTCAATGATTTCAATACCAGAGATAAGATTATGCATTCTTTTGATGTGAATTCTTTATTTACTAATGTACCATTGAATAGAACAACTGGTCTTCTTTATGACGATATTTCTTCCAGAAATCTTTTACTCCCCTATTCCATTTATAAATCTCAAAAACCTATCATAATTATGTGCTGATAATGTCAAATTCCGATTCGAAAGCGAATATTTTAGACAAATTGATGGCGTTGCTATGGGTGTCCCCCTAGGTGCCATGTTGGCCGATGTGTATACATCGTACGTCAAAGATTTAGCCGAGGAATTGATTAGAAAAGCGCGCTGTTACAAAAACTATGTGGATGACATTTATATGATTTGTGAAAATGTGAGGAGGCAATGTGCTTATTAGATAAAATGAATAGTGCACAAAGCTATATTAGCCTAACTTACGAAGAAGTCAATGGCTCAATCAGGTTTATCTACAGGAAGCTGACTTGGAAAGGATAATACCTTAGTTATCATAGTTAATAACCTCGCCTAGGTAACTAGTTCATTAGTTATTAGCCGGTCATAAGCCCGGATAAAGAGGGAACGTTAGGCATAGAGGCTAGCAACCCTACCCCGTAAAGCCAAACCAGTCGCTAAAGAAACTTCAAAGCACAAATAAAATTAAACTTATTCCTCGTTGGAATCGGAGCGGCGAAATCACGCCAGTTGGTAAAAGCCCTCGGGAAGCCGATTGACCGATGTGTCTTCTCTTCTTGCAATGAAAGCGAGAGTAAGAATGAGGACATGGAATGTCCGAACAGTGTTTGAAGCTGGTTGGCAAGGCTTCACAGATTCCAAAAGAGATGAAAAGATATGGTATAGAAGTGCTAGGAATTTGAGAGGGATAAGCAGATGGAATGGAAAAGGAGTCTTCAAACTGTCAACTGGATAGTCAATTATCTACTCCGATATTGTCATCCAAACGAGAACCACAAGCACACTGGGTTTTCGAGTGGCTATCATGATGTCCCCGTCCCAACAGCATCGAAGGTCTTATGCAGTGGGAACCAATCCCCTCCACGATCACGATCATGACAGCACGATCCAACTCGAAAGGAAGGAAAGTCACAATCCTTCAATGCAACCCTGCGCACCTACAAATAATGCAGATCAAGAGAAGGAGAAATTCTACGGACAACCACAATTAGTACTGGACAAGACCCCGCCCCAGTTGGCGACATTGAAATTCTAATGGGTGGCATGTTTTAATGCCAAACTGGGAGCGGAAAACACAAAAAGACAACCAATCATGGGTCCAGAAGCGCTCGATGAAGTGATGAGAGAGAATGGAGAACTGTTTGCAGATTTCTGCGCATTTAATGGTTTGTTGATTGGAGGCAGTATGTACAAATATGAGGATATTCACAAGGTAGCGACATGGATTTGATTTCACCAGACACCAGGACACACTACACTAAAAATCAGATCGACTTCATCTCAATGTGAAGAAAGTGGAAATGCAGCCTACTGGACACAAGATCAGATCAAGAAGGCGAGCAAATGTAGGTTCACACAACACTCTATCTAGTGCAAGGAAGTCACCTTCAAAATCAAGTTGAATCTCTTCAATTCAAACAAGCTGGTAATAGACCACAGTTCAAGTTCAACACCCAGAAACTGAAGAACGAAACTACAAATGACATCTTCACGTCAGCCATTAGGACAAAATGCGAAACATCAGGCAACATCCCTGAAGGAACCTTAGTGGAAGAACACTGGAACTCTGTGAAAGAGATGTGAAAGGAACCTGCATAACCATGTTAGGAAGCAAGAAGAAGAAAGACAAGGAATGGATCTCGACGGAAAAACATGGAAGCTGATAGTTGACGGAGAGGAAGATAGTGAAACAGAACATGGACCAGTGAAGTGCAGGAATGAACAACGAAAAGAGGAACTGAAAACAACCTATAAAACACTACACTGGACAAAGAAGTGTAGAAGAGTGCGTACAAAGACAAAAGACACTTCCACGACACACTTGCAAGTGAAGCAGAACAGGCTCCTTGTAGGAGAGACAGCGACCTGACAACACTATGTCAAATAACCAAAATACAACCTGGGAAGAGATCAATGCAGATGAAATCAATGAAAGATAGTGAAAGAAACCTAGTTAGCAAAGAGGAGAAACAAACGAAACAATAGGCTGACCATTTAGAAAAAAACTCTTGAATCAACTACCACCACCTACAACCCGTCCAGAAATACCACCGGTAGCCCTCCGAAGACGGGACTTCAAGTGAATGTAGAGAAGACAGAGGTGATGAAGCTAACCAACCAACAACAAGCACCAATCACCATGAATGGAAGAAACCTAAAGGAAGTAGTCTCTTTCACCTACCTAGGCAAGATCGTGTCAACTACAAGTGACGGCACAGATGAGGATGTCAAAGCCAGGAGCGGTAAGACACCTTGAATCTGAAATCAGTGTGGAGGTCTACTGCACTTCACTCCTCTCCACTCAGCATAAAGTGTGAACAACATCCGGATTTTCGACACTGCTAATGTCAGTCAAGTGAGTCAGTGCTTCTATGTAATGGTTGAGAGACTTGGCGGCGCGTTACGAAAAGCATTTCCGACAAACTACAGACATTCATCAACAGCTGCCTACGCTCGTTACTGAAGATCAGATGGCCAAAATAATAAGAGTAAGGAACAAGGAACTCTGGTTGGCTGGCTGGCTGGCAGGCAACGAACCAACCAAGAATCCATCGGCCAACAAATATGCAGAAGAAAGTGGAGATGGATTGGATTGGGCATATACTGAGAAGACCATTCGGAGACATCATGCGCCAGGCCCTTGAGTGGAATCCAAAAAGGAAACGACGAGTTGGACGTCTGAGTCGAGGGTGATATGGAGGAGATCATGTAAGGAAGAAATGAAAGCTTGTGGGCAGTTGTGGAGCGAGGTTCAAAAGACTGCAGAGAAGAGAGTGCAATGGAGACGTGCTACTGAAGCCCTATGTTCCTCCAGGAACCCAAGGGACAAATAATAATAATCATAGGTAATGTCCAGCGCAACACAATCGTAACTTAATTAGGTGTTTATTTAATATAGTTAATCGTATTTGCACAGATGATACAAAAGAGGCAGAAGGAAAATTCATGACGGATACATTAGTGAAAAATAAACAACCGTTAAAATTTATGAACGGGTGTAAAATTAGCATAACACTGACATTGATTAATCAGTATCCTGTTTCTAAGACAAATGTGTGTATCACATTGCCTTACAGAGGTGAATCGAGTAGCTTAATCTTGGAGGAAAGGGTCAAATCACATGTTGGCAGGACATACTACGAGGTCAAGGTCATCTTCGTGAAGAAGATAAAACATATGCTTCAACACAATTGGAACAGCATTTGAACGAATGTTTCACATCTCATTGTCTATCAATATACATGTATGCGTGAACACATATACATATGAAATAGCAATCGTGACATTCAGTTAAGAATGGTTGAACATAGGCCTAACAGTTTAATAAATGCAGGTGGCAAACGTCTTTTCTTATCGATAGCAAAACACATTTTAGAAACTGGTCAAGGACAAATGCTTAGATTTATCGAAGCACTAGCTATCCATAAATTCAAACTCCTTATATGTATTCAAAAATAATTTGTACTAACAATAAACCTATCCTGGTAATATTAAGTTCACTCCTTAATACTATTGGTGGTGGTGGTGATGTGACCTTTTATCATTACTATTTTCTCCATTCTTGTGTTTGTTTTACCCTTGTTATCTTTCTTCCAAATTACAATTACATTGGCTTCATTAACCTTTCTCAGTTTTTATCTAAATTATTCGACAAGTTCACGTATGATCAGTCAGACATCAAAATGTATAGCGCTAATACATCACATATGTTTCAGATAATCTCCAACTTCTCATTACGTTGTTTAAATTTATCAAGAGGACTAATTGTTTCAAGTTTAATTTAGGCGTGTTAATACGTATTTAGTATCTACGACCTTTCATTGGCTAGCCATTACTATAACTTAGGCATAGGATATTCGCTGCTTGGTAACTAGCAGTACAATCCAGGGAAGAGCATTTCTACCTAGTTGAGACTCGTCAGCTTGATGCACCTGCACTCCAGTGAGTGATGTTACTATTATTATTATTATTTATTTGTCCCTTGGGTTCCTAGTGGAACATAGGGCTTCAGTAGCACGTCTCCAGTGCACTGTGTTCTCTGCAATCTTCTGAACCTGGCTCCACGACAGCCATAATGAGTAGTCGGGTAGTATCAAGGTGTCCACATAGGAGCCCATTTGCCAACACAGGTCAACTTAATACAGCGATGGAAGATTACAAGTATAAAACAGCTACCGTATAGTGCATTTCTCCTACACTTGATTATACCCAAACAAGTATGGAATGCTGTAGTATGTGCCATTTAATGAGCATCTGAATGTTAAATTTAGTACTACCATCATTCTTATTTCATATTTTTTACGTCTTTATTGAGCATACTTTCTATCTTGATAGCAAAACATACGCTAAATATGAGACAAACCCATCGAACATACAAAAACAAATTTCTTGAGTAAGTCCCTAACGGTTAATTAAAAAGATATAAGATTCATACACACTGTTTGTAGAAAACCAGTAAGAAGGTCTCTTAAATCTGACGCTAACTCATTAAAAGTTAAGTCGAGAAATATTACAGTTGCCTCACCTCTAGGACTCAATGGTAACGTCTCTAATGGAAGAGTTCAGTGATGCAGGTTTGAACTTCTACGGGAAAAATCACTCCTCCAGACGTTGTAGATTCGCCTTACCAATGAGTCCCAACAAGCAAGAAACCAAGGTGGAGCCTTATTATTATTATTATTTTTCCCTTGGTTCCCTAGAGGAACATAGGGCTTCAATAGCACGTCTCCATTGCACTCTCTTCTCTGCAGTCTTTTGAACCTCGCTCCACAACTGCCCACAAGCTTTCATTTCTTCCTTACATGATCTCCTCCATATCACCCTCGACTCAGACGTCCAACTCGTCGTTTCCTTTTTGGATTCCACTCAAGGGCCTGGCGCATGATGTCTCCGAATGGTCTTCTCAGTATATGCCCAATCCAATCCATCTCCACTTTCTTCTGCATATTTGTTGGCCGATGGATTCTTGGTTGGTTCGTTGCCTGCCAGCCAGCCAGCCAACCAGAGTTCCTTGTTCCTTACTCTTATTATTTTGGCCATCTGATCTTCAGTAACGAGCGTAGGCAGCTGTTGATGAATGTCTGTAGTTTGTCGGAAATGCTTTTCGTAACGCGCCGCCAAGTCTCTCAACCATTACATAGAAGCACTGACTCACTTGACTGACATTAGCAGTGTCGAAAATCCGGATGTTGTTCACACTTTATGCTGAGTGGAGAGGAGTGAAGTGCAGTAGACCTCCACACTGATTTCAGATTCAAGGTGTCTTACCGCTCCTGGCTTTGACATCCTCATCTGTGCCGTCACTTGTAGTTGACACGATCCTGCCTAGGTAGGTGAAAGAGACAACTTCCTTTAGGTTTCTTCCATTCATGGTTATTGGTGCTTGTTGTTGGTTGGTTATCTTCATCACCTCTGTCTTCTCTAAATTCACTTAAAGTCCAGTTTTCGCTGCCCTGCCTCTTCTGTCAACTTGTTAGTTCTCGCCTGTAGATCTTCGAGTTTGTGCGACATTAGACACAAGTCATCGGCGAAATCCAAATCTTCTAGGTTGTTTTCATCGGTCTGGCCAGCGTACGCCTATGTCTCTCCTCACTGTTAGCTGCATGATCCAGTCCATCACAATCAGGAATATCATGGGTGATAGTAGGCAGCCTTGTCTTACTCCTGTCTTCACTTCAAAGGCGTCACTGACCTTTTCATTATGGATCACCTGGCATATGGTGTCTTTATACAGCTGTTGAATGAGGTTGATAAAGATTTGTGGCACTCCGTATCGTTGAAGCAACTGCTAAATTACTTCTCGGAGGTGGAGCCCCAATTACTGGTAATTGACTATAACCACCTAATTGTGAATCAAAATCCACTTCAATGATGAGTCTCCTTATTTAGTGACTTCAGAGTAAACCTAGTCAGAACATTTATTCCTAGTTAAAAACAATAACAGAAAATCAGATGGATAATATAATATACGAGAACTGATCACTGCCAAAAAAAATTCAAAGATCTAAAGTTTTACTTTCAGGGGGAAAAAACAAATGCCAACACTCAACAAAACAAAAAGCGAGGAGTACTGGACGTCTCAGTTTCATCCTAGTTCCCTCTTCTTCAATAATGCATATTTACGACAATATATAGACGGTTAAACCTAGAACTATCAGGTTTTGTGGTGAGTATATTATTCATTCAGATACCGAATTGAATCCTAATCGTTCATATTTTATACTTCTGTCAATTTGAGACATAATAAGATCCTCATCATATAACTTTAACAACATTTATACAAAAATTGAGATATGAAAAAAACTATTCACATGGAGAGAAGTTATCTATCAATGGTATTAGTATTATTCTGCTTAAACTCACTTTAACTATCATCTGAACTTCCATATCATTGAATAATCTTCCATTTGAGTTGATTGAATCTTCAACTGGATTTCTTTGACTATTATTATGATTATTAGTAGTTTCATATTCACCTGTATGTCCAGATGAATAATTTAGCTTGTTACAATCACTTTCAATACCATAAGATTGATGTTGATTATAATTATGATTTGATAGACTGATCTCTTGACTTGACTGATAATTTTGTATATGAATGAGATTTTGATGCGGATTGACTGAACTACTATCACCACAACCACCAACACCACCACCATGACCGGATACATTTGGAAAGTGTACACCAATTACACCTAATACAGTATTTGTGACAGTAGCAGTTTTTCCATTTTGAGCAGACAATTGAGATGGAATGGTAGTAGATTGTACTACATGATGTCCTACAAGAGGATGAGGTCGCAGAGAAGGATCTGAAGCACCGGGAATATTTGATGATACAGAAGATGTTTGCGCAGGATTAGATGAATGATTGTTTAGCTTATTGAAATAGTTCATAGAATTTACATGATCATTATTATTGTGTGTACTACCACTAGCAGTACAGTCTAAAATATCATTATATGAAGATGGATCTAGTGAATCTGAAAAGCATACAAAAAGAAGTACATATATGTTATGATAGGGTTAAAAAGAGATGCATTATACTCTTTTTTTTGCATATATATCTCTTGCAAATATTTCAGAAGAATTCAATCATTTATCCATTTAGAATTCCATGATAGAGTTAATCCAAGCTTAGTAATCTATCTTGGAAATATTGACATTTTATTTGGCCTATGGGAAAACAACATTTATTTAATCCATCACCAAAAATAAACTAATACTAAATCACGTGGCTTTTACTTACATTACGAAATTTATTCTCACTTCAGGATGACCTTCAGAAATATATGTATGCAACAAAACTAACCAATCACATTAAATCCAATACGATACGTATTTGATTAAAGCAAATATTATTAATATTAATATTTTACGCATATGTAGATATAAAATTCAAGATGGTGACTATAAATTAATCCACAGAAAATATGAACTGATAAAAAGATTTATTTTTTACCTTCAATGGTGTTACTGATGAGCTATAGTACATCCATTTATTACTTTAACTATTACATTAACTAAATTACAACATCCAATTAATCAACAACATAAAGTGCGAAATCGTGTATAATCTAACGAGAAAAGAACAATTTCTATGTGTTAATTTGCTAGTTGGATGGCCATCATCCAATACCATCACTGAGTATCTGTCTACACTTTCGACTTAGTTGACCTCACATATGTTACGACATGTCATTAGAACTTCAGGGAAACACTCCAAAGTCACTAATGAGGACTGGATAAGTAATTCCATTGGTGGTTTGTAGGGATTAATTGATTTCAAAGGAGTAGCAGTGAGAAAACTGCAGAGTTGGATTCTGGCACATGTGCTCACTCCCTTAAACTTGTCGATAGTCCCTTCGGTCCCTCATACAGTAGTGGATATGTAGAGTTGAGTTCACTCATTCCTATCGTCTCGGGCACAGTAGCCGGGTAGTCTAAACCTTTCTACAAGTCTCACATAAACAGAAATTTCATCCAATGGTTTGTGGTCTTGGTGTGACCACCCTCAACCCTCTTCCAACCTAATCCAACTTCCCCTATCACAGCACATCGAGGTAGGCGATGGATCGGCGGCATGAGCAGTATATGTTTAGGCCAACTCAGTCGACTAAGGTTCACAATCTCGCCAATCAACATGTCTACCTTTCCCAGTACCTGTCGTCTGACCTCAATATTTCTCACCCAAGGATTCCACCAAATGCAAGCAATGCTACAAAGATATCTGTGACCAAAAACCAGTAATCTCTCTCTACTTTTAACGGCCATGTCTGACAGTCGTATCACAGGGGAAAGCAGATTTCAGAGCAGTAAACTCGTCGTTTAATAGGTAGTCGGATAGTTCGCCAGTCGGCAACACAGATGATGAAAGTATCCTAGCTGAGATTTCATCAGCAATCGAGCAGATGTAACTCACAGAGTAAGTGAAGTGGTCGACTTCCTGTCGACTAAATTCAAGCACTCAACACCTGAAGCAGTAACTTGGTGGTGTTATGATAGCTATATCACTTAACTAATGAACGTTTTACAATTATTAAATAAACGGGCGAAAAAAGTTTGTTTAAATAAGATGAGAAGGTAATCAAATTTGTTTGCCATTTTGTTTATCATATTTCGGTAACTTCTGCTGAACTTCGACAATATTTATTTGATTTCGCTGACAGGAAAAGTGGTTCTAAAGTTCATACTTGCAACTACACAAATAAACAATAAGATTTCCTTGTTTTAATTAGAAAAAGTAGTTTTTTCAAAAAATAAAGAAAATCGATTGGTTACTTTCGTAGTTGCTAGCGTGGCTTTTTACAGTCAGTCCGTAAAAACTGACCGAATTTGAAACAAAATAATCTCAGAAATAGTTGAGGAGACCTCTACTTTGAAACTGACGATGACTTAGGATAATGTACAATCTAAAGTAATCGATCTTTCTTTTTCGCTATCCATATGGAAGATTTCCACTTTGTCTGCTTGTGTGGCGGACATACTTCTTTTGGTGCCCACACTGCTCCAAGCTTATGTCTGAAACAGATCAGAAACAGTTAGTCTCCGACTACTCACCTCGATGAATAACGGTGCCAAGAGAACTCGTTAAGCATGCATATATATATATATATATATATATATATATATTATATCGAAATTACCATATAGCGAAACACAAGTAGATTCAACCAACCAAATGAATCATTAAAAAAGGTCAAGAAAAAGACGATAAAACGCTAAAAGCGCAGCACGCTAAGAATAAGCGAATATTTAAGTTTTAGAGACAAGCAGACAACAAATGCATATAGCGTTATTAGACTCTGAATTCAAGTAAGTCAGCAACAATTTTTGAGTGCCTTTTAAAACCTAGTATCATAGTTGATAAGAAATCAGTCTTACACTTATAACTGAGAATATACTGGTTTCCTGTTTGTTATTTAATGATAGCTGCTACCTTGACGTAGTGGTTGGATTTGCATACGTATGTTCCTCGAGGTCCTCTATCATGCCAGGAAGGTTTGTTGGATAGCAGTTACCGTTATTACGTTGTGATGGTGGTCTGAGGGGTAAGTCGTACTGCTAGCGGAATAAGGTTGTGACAGCAGTCAGGAGTTTCTCGTGGATGGCTAGTGAACTATACTGATGCTAACTTCCCCACTAGAATCGGGGTTGCAAAAAATAGGCTCAAAATAACAGTACATTTTCATGCTATGCAGTCTTCCAATTCCGGCGAAATTGGTTTTCTAGCTGGATTCAAAACAATCAAAGTTAGATATCAAACTCCCTCAAAATCCGTAAGCGACTGGCCACAAGCACATCTCCCTTGGGCTCTGTGGTTTCCCGTTACTCTTACTAAGCCAAATCCTTTTTCAGGTACCTCAAGAAGAAGTAATCTTAAACGATGTAGGGAGGTGGGAAGTGTCAATCGCCCTCACAACTCCCTTACTATTCAATTTCCCTCAGATAAACACCAGCCAAATACATCTTTGTCTTCTAATAGATCTTCACACCACTCGATCAAGATTCTATCTTATCTTTAGTTTCTCCTAGCTATAAAACCCTTGACAAAAACTCAAGTTCACATAATAGCACCCATGGTGTCCTGAAACCGCATTGCAAACTAAATACTGAGGCTTTCAACGTCCGCAACCTTCGTCAAATCGGTTGACAAGCTTCGCAGGCCGAAACTTTGATATCCCGAGTCATGAACGTTTGCTGTGTTTGTGAGACAAGCATACAGAACGCTGGCCTTGAATGAGTCGGTGCAGCATAGTCCTAAGGCAAAAAGTGTACGATTCGACTGGATCCCAATCCACGGTCACCTATGCATTGTTTTACCGGACGGAAAGGTAAGAACTAAAAAGAATAGTGAAACTTGTCGTTGTCTCTTTGTAATCACTGCTTGTGTACATACTGATTGCAGTTCAGATGAAGTGAAGGATGAGTTCAAACAATCTAGTCTCCTATTGAAAGCCGAACTCTCAGACGTCGTATTCGTAGCAAGTAATTTCAATACACAAGTGGGTAGACTAAGTCAGGCACTTTCGGAATTCCATTCAACTGAACGAACAGATAATGGTGATCTGCAGCATGAACTTCAGAAATAAATAGAGACATTGTCTGACGTGGCGTCTACCGATCTCAACTTATCGGTGGACTCAGATACACTATACTGTTCACAGTCATCGGTGAAGAGGATCCGTGAAACACTGTTGCTCCTTCTGAACCACGTGTTTAGACACTGATAAGGCATTCGTTTGATCGCATGTATATGTGTCTAATTGGAAGGAAAAATTATAGTCACACAATCATTCCACGCACAGCTTGATGATGAGAAAGGTTAGAAAGGGTCAATCAAGCTTAGCAACTTCTGAATTAATCGATGCATGTGAACGCATACCCACAGGCTCTGAGCAAAGTGAAGAGTGGAAGTAACTGAAATGTAGATCGACAAGCAATCTACACAATGATCGTGAGCAGTGGTGTGAAGCTAAGGTTCAACAGGAGGAAAAGGCAAGTGTGATATATAAAAAGAGATAGATGTTTAGAATGATCAAGGAAACTAGAGCAAAAGTGTCAATGGTTACTGTGAACATAGAGGAGAAAGAAGGGTCTTCGACTCACTACCGGAAGAAATGACTGTGAATATGCCGAGAACACTTTGAGGAACAGTTCAAGTGACCTCCAGCTAGTCTTCGATTACTCACTATTCAATCAGATCCTGAAAGGAACACTGAAGAAGGCGCTCCAACTCTTGAAAGGGTTGAGATGGTTGCAAGTAAAAAGAAACGACAGGTCATCATGAGCTAGTACCAGATGAAATTTACCGACGATGGTCGTGGATCATTGGTTAGATTAACTTAAATCTTAGCGTATGGGAACCAGAAATGGTTTGATCTGACTAATGGCAACCATTGATTGGTCTAGTATTCAAGAGAGGAGAGAAATCCTTCTGTGATAACTTAGGGGAATCAGTTTGATGAATGTATTTTCTACGATCCTAGATTCCTAAATTATTAGATGCTTAAATGAAGTTTGGGAACACCAAACCCAAGAAAAGCAGGCAGGTGGTATCAGAAGTCATCATGGGCGTATCGACCAAACATTCACCCCCGCTAGGCTCTGGAACGCACACACACCTTCCGATACCTGACAATAACTGTGTTTCTTGACCTGGAGGCAGAATTCAACTGTATCGATCAAGAAATTTTATGGTAGTGTCTCTAACTGGAAAGGGTATCGGATAAACACATCACCCGGTTGAAGGCTTTGTAGTCGAAAACCCGTAAGTTTGTTTAGGAACTAAGTTGAAGCAACCAGTTAGTATTGTACGCCGAATGGTGTCACTCAAGAGTGTTCACTTTATACGCCTTTGCTGGATCTTGTCACAAACCACTTTATACGTACCTCTTTCTCAGTGTCTTCCTTTAAAAGGAATAGGTTTGTCAAAATAGACTTCTTAGCACAGCATGCAGATGGAATTGTCGTGTTGGATGAAGACACTGATAAAATGCAATCTCCTGGACACCTTAAGTGGCAAGTTGAGAATGTTTAAGATGCTAATTTTCAACACCCAAATGCGAACTGTGGTTTCTGAACTGGTCTGCACTGGTGATGTGTCTAGCAATAAAACGTGAAACAGTTGAGCGCGTTGACCACTTCGCTCACTCGGGAAGTCGGATCAGCTCTGTTTGGTCAGTGACAACAGAGAAATCCCTGCATTGATGCAAAAGACTAGCCGGAACTGTCCCAACTTACGTCGTTTATGGCGCTGGCAGGATATCCAATTTCTTATAAGGGAGGGAGTGTACTGCACAGTAATCGACTCTGTTCTACTGTATAAATGTGAAACATGGCCATTAAAAGTAGGAGATATGAAAATGTTTCCGGTGTTCAACCACAGTCGCCTTTGTATTGTGATAGCACCACATCAGTGACTCAAAAGTCAGGTGTACAATTTTGGCCAAAAGATAGTCAGTTGATGAGGTTGTGAACGTTTATTGACTTAGATGGCTGAGAGATGTGTTATGCATACAGTCATCATCTGTCCCGTTGTGTGTTGTTACCTGAAGTGGACGAGGCGCTGGAAAAAAGTTAGACGTAACCCGACTTAAACATGACGTCAGTCCCATAAGTCTATGATTGTTGTTCCGAGCCATGTAGGGAAACAGACCTCCAGGCTCAGACCCACACGATATCTTAAGACTGTTATTAGAGACTTTAGGTGATGCAGAGACATCCAAAGATTACGTTCATCTTAATTGATATGCCAAATTTATCTCTTTTTTATGTCTTCTCCCCCGTTTTCATGCTTTTCCATTAATCTTCGTTACTTTCTTTTTCATTTCTCTTTCATCCTGGTGTCTTCTACCTTCATTTACTGATATGAATAGTAACAACTTGGATCATTACGTAGAAATACCAGGTCTCATGCTGATACTGACTAACTGAAGTCATGTACATGTAATCTCAATCGCATTGTTTGTATAGACGTAACAGGTTGGATTAACTGGCCACTGGAACGTTACCAGTTCCATATTGTCTAGTTCTAAGTGTGCTGACTGATCATTTTTGAAATATCATCACCAAGGTAGCAATGATTCCTCCTCTTCTTTATCAATGAACTTTTGATTTTTACCATGCAGAAAAACATTTTAGCCAGTACTGATTCATAGTTTATTGGACAGAAACCGATAGGCTTAAGGGCCAGGCTCTCCCGTGGACCTTTCCTATGAATTAAAAGGAATATGTTATTATTGTATCTAACTGAACTTTAACAGTTTCTGCCCAGTCGGCTATAAACCAGCACTCGTTACGACATTCTACAGACAAAGAAAAATTACATTCAACAGATACACTGAAAGGATGAATTACTTTTGCTCAAGAAATTTCTAATAGGAAATATATGTCTGTTAAGCTACAGTAAAAAATACGGTTGATAGAACTATGTTCAACAAGAAATCAGTATTCATCCACATCAGTTTCAAAGATGGTGATATCGCGATTAGGATAAACAAAGACTATGCAATGCACAGACCAAGATATATACTGAGGTGAGGCTTATTTCATTCTTTCAATACCTTGCACATCGGTACATTCAGAATCGATGGGTACTTTTCATAGGTTACTTTATACTGAGTATGCTAATTTACGCACGGGGCCCATAGTATTTGCATACACTGAGATCTCGGAAAGAAAGGCTTAACTCAAGGATTTTGAAGACGTCTGAAAACCGTGCGATCAAGTGGATCAATAGCTGCAATGGTGCAGTTGTTTAGCCCCACAGAACACCAAGTAGATAGATGCTTTGGAGTCACTTAAGAATTTCAATTGACAGAACAGACCTAATCTTATTTCACACGCTTCCAAGATTGTAATTAAACACCTCAAGGCAGATTTATTTGTTTGAAAGGAATTGATCATTAACCTTAAACTATCCTAATAGTCTAATTTCTCAACTCGACTTATTTCATGGTTAGAGGATATCAGCAGGAAGTCCTACACCTAGGTCCAGGAGCCTGTCGATGACTGTCACCAACCAAACTAACATCGAAGACCAATAGTACTTTACTTTTTGATCTATATAGTCTAACAAGTTGTCAACCTATTAGTATATAGTGAAATGGACTTTGGATGTTGCGTAATCTGCTGCTTAACTTCCTGATTAGCAGTCAATATACCACTAGTCGATATAAGACAATGAACAATAGCTAACACAAGGAATACGTTTTACAGATTTTTCTATCCTAATGCATACACATACACACATGATGCTATTCTAGACTGAAATAACTGAATTCTGTATGATGGTGACATTAACACACATTTAAACATTAGACATCATAATTCAATAGATAATCTGAAGGTTGTGATCAATTAGATACAACTTTGCGTTGTTGCTAACCGCCAATATTAATAGATCTGGAACTTAGTACTGTAAAAAGTTGTAGATGTGTAACATTAAGGGATTATAAAATAGAAATGAAACGAAGTGTTCAATGGCCTGAAAACTATTTAACTGATATAACTTTCATAGACTACACAAACTGATCATGAAGTAATATCCAGATGATAGTACTCAACAGTGGATGTAATCCAAAATTATCGAGTTTAACAATCTGAGATAGATTTGTGTTGATACTGGGTGATGACTGAAGGTGAAATGAAGATCTGGACCGCTGCAGAATTCGGACGAGAGGTTGCCAGTTCGATTCCAGTCGCGGGCTAGATTTTCATTTCACACCCTTGATCATCACCTTTGATCAATACAAGATTTTTGAAAGTCACTAATTGAAAATTTACTGAAAGTTTTGAACTTCATAAACATAATACGACTTCCCATGGAAACTACCTTCAAATCCAGCGCAAACAAACACAAATCTACTGTAGTATGCATACGATACTGTCCCACTGAGTGAAGATGTTGGCAAAATGCAGGGTGTTTTGAACACCTTGAACAGAAATCTGAGTATTTTTGGCTAGAGTACGTTTCGCACCAGTAAGAAGATTGCTCCACTACTGGTCTGCAACTAATTCCAGTAAAGTAGTGGAACGTAAAGACCACTTCATTTACTCGAAGAACTGCATCGCCTTGAACAGGCTGGTTGTTGACGAAATCTCAGCTAGGATGCAGAAGGCTCGTTTGGCATTTACTAACTCCCATCACCTATACCGCCGATTGAAGAGATATTCGATTACCAATTAAACGACGAGTATACCACGCTGCAGTCCACTCTGTCGTTATATGCCTGTGAGACATGACCGTTAAAAGGAGAAGACATGAAGCGATTACTGGGTTTAGATCACAGATGTCTTCGTAGCATTGCTCGCGTTTGGTGGAATCCTTGAATGAGAAATGTTGAGGTCAGACGACAGGTACTGAGCAAGACAGACAAGTCGATTGACGAGATTGTGAACATTAGTTGACTGAAACGATTTTGACGTGCACTGCACATGCCGAGCTACCACCAACCTCGACGTGTCATGCTGGGAGAAGTTGGATTAAGTAGGAAGAGGGTTCAAGGTGGTCAGATCAAGACCAAAAACCAGTCGATGAAGTCCCTGAATGTTGATCGGAGCCGTGTGAGATGTAGACTACCTGGTTTGGGATACTTAGTGACATGGCTGGAGATCAATCACGATTGCACAGATATATTTACTTTTCGGCGTCTTCTAAAGCTTGAATATTTGCACTATTCGTTATTTTCAGACTGTTTGTCCTCTCTCACACAACTTTGTCTACCTTGATATGTTTCCTCTTCTATGCACCGGTTCTTTGTGTACTGCTGCAAAGTGTGCCAACTTGAGCTGATGCACTTTTGTGCTAGGTTCTATGTTGATTTCATCTGTCTGCTGAAGTTATACATAAACATGTATGTGCAAAATACAAGTTATTGCTTACTGTAATGATAAGCTTACCTGGAAGTTCAGATAAACTTGATTCTTCAACTTCAGGAAAACACTGATATGGATTAGTGACAGGTACTATTTTATTATGCGATACTTGTATCCATGATGGTAAATCAGGTGGTATACTATTAATCCAACGTTGAACATATAGCATACGTTCCTGAAAAGAAAAAGCAGAATAAACATGGAATAATGTTTTCTTTTTAACTGTAATTAAACAAATTTGTTTTGTTTTACATTCATTGGAAAATAAAAGAATACCAAAATAATGAATAAATATATACTACTTTCGAGAGTTAAAGACTACTAATCAAGTAATCTATGTCCTATGGTAGCATTAACTTGACTAGTTGCCTTTGTATATGAAACAATGGATTGTGACTCAGAGTCTGAACCGTAAAATGTTCACCGTGATACCTGAAGGTCTTCGAGTTGATCGTAAACTGGATGGCTAGTGAAAACTTTTGAGGAGTTACGGAATAGAACGAAACAGCTGAACAATATTCTTTTTAAAATCTAAATGAAAATTTTCAATGTTCTAAAGTCGTCTGAGTATAAAATTGCATAAAACGTCGTCAATGAGATATGAAGTATTACGTGAGGTGCAATAAAGTCGAGTTTGAAAACCTCTATTCACAAACAGAAAGGATAGTACCATCATGCAATGAAGAGGTTGAAAAACTTTTAAGACTATACTTATTGATTGTCTTTACAAGTCTTTAAGTCGTAGATACACAACAACAAAAAGCATCCCAGTCAAAGAGGAAAAAAGATTTAAGGACGATTAAAATGAACGAGAACCTAGCGACAATTAAGACAGATAAAGAGTCAGGAACAGTACTTATGAATACAAAAGATCACATAAACAGACTGTTTTGCTTAGGGACAACAGTAAATTTCAAAAGTTACTGAATAGTACTGGTAGTAGGATAGAAACAATAAAGAGACAGTTCACAGAAGCACTTAAGAAGATAAGAAAAGAAGGTTTTGATTTCATAAGGTATGTACGAAAAGCTCAGACTTGCAGGGACCACTACACTTCGACTTTATGGCTTGTCAGAAGTACACAAAAACGCACTGTCTCTCCGACCAGTTCTTTAATTGTTTAATTCACTACACCATGCTACAGCAAAATGGTTAGTAGAACTCTTGAGGCCACTTCACAATGAAGTTGTCAAGCACAGTTTAAAGTAGTCCGTTGAATTTGTTGAGAGGATTAAAGGAGTGAGAGTAAATAATGAATTTATGATATTATGTGATGTCTCGACTGTCTTTATTAACTTTCCTTTACTAGAAGCCGTAGATTTATATGCGCTGAAGTGTACAAACGTGACATAAAAGCGGGAGTTCCTGCCTGTACTCCGAAACAGCTTCTTCTGAGATATTAATGATAGGCAAAGGCCTAGCAGTGGGATATAGGATGCACGCTTCGTCCTATTTGGAACTCGTCAGCTGGATGTACCTACTTCCCACTGAATGTTGTTCCCAATGGGACTTGAACTCGGTACCGATTGCTTCAAACGCCAGAGCGTTATCCACTAGACCGCCGAACTACGATAGCCAATTCTTGTGCGACAACATTAAAACTATACCTGCCACACAAGAAGTGACTATCGTGGCCCGGTGGTCTAGTGGATAACGCTCTGGCGTTTGAAGTGATCGGTCCTGAGTTCAAGTCCCATTGGGAACAACATCACCCACTCGGAGGCAGGTACATCCAGCTGACGAGTCCTAAATAGGACGAAACGCGTCCTAGATTCCACTACTAGCCACTACCCATCATTAATATATAATTGAAACGCAGGCAATATCGAGGCATCGAAGCAGGAGACCGACCGATTCGGCCCCATCAATGACGGGATAATATAAGCAACAACATTGTTCTGAGATACATGATGAATGCTAACTTCCCCTTTAACAAGATTTACAGCCAATGGGATGGTGTGTGCATGAGATCATCACTACATTGGATCATGAAAATAGTCCACTTGATGAAACCAGTCAGCTGGAATTTTATAATCATTACGTGGATGATATGTGCATAGTTTTCTAAGATGAGAACATTATTCTTGATAAATTTAGTAGCGTTCATCCAGCCATCTTCACAGTAGAAGAACGAAATGACTACAACTTTTCGATGTTTTATTCTTTAAAAAGTAAGATGGAACGACAAAACAAACCATACGCAGAAATTCAACATCGACTGCTCAATACATTCACTTTTATAGCTCTGTTCCCCTGAGGTACAAACGAATCTCGGCGAAATACTTGGTTCCTCATGTAAAAGTTATCTGCTCTGATGAAACCATAGAAGAGCTTGACACTAGACATAGCCTGCTTGGTAGGAATAGATATCCTGCCGAGTTCGCGACTAAGTACATGAAGAAGATGAAGGCCAAACCAAAGGTGATTATAGTTCATAAGGAACCTATTATTATTGTTTATTGATACTTGTAATTCTTCGCATAGCCAGATGCCTAGAGGCATAGCAACGGGAAATTACAGGTATCAATAGACAACAATGGCTACCAGTTACACAAGAGATGGCTGTCATGTCTCAATGGGTAACGCTCTGATGCTTGAAGCAATAGGCACTGGGTCTGAGTCTCCATGGAAACAACATCACGTCTCGGGGTGTAGGCAAATTCGGTTGAAGAATCCTAGATAGGATGAAACAGGAGTCCAGGATTCTACTCCTAGCTAGCGCTAAGAAGCCTGTTTTCTTGGAACTTTAATTCAAAGGTGACATCACCAGTGAGATTACAACGCAACCTTTCCGAAGAGCTTATCAGAGAACAATCAAAGCTGCAAAGTTATATCCTACCTTCTACAATTGGCTAATTATAGGTGCAGGGTGTAGAGGAAGACTTCCTGATTCTCCTTGCTTTATGCGCTATTATTAGTTTAACTGTTCCTGTGGAACTAGTTATATACCGAGTAGAATATTTGAAAAAACTCTTATGTGAACGGTACTACAGCGTAGAGACACATCACTACTATATATCTGCTACTACTATTAACTATCGTTGATAGCAGTAGGTATAGTTAAGCTCAAAGTATTCACTAGATGGCAAATGCTGTAGCTGCCAAATCTGAAGTATCACTCAAAGTGCATCCTTCAAATGTGCAGTACAGACGCTAAAAGAACAGAGTAATTGTGCTTCACTTTCTATAGATCAACTCTGAACAATTAAGACAGCTGTACTAATAATCCCTGTGTTTTAACCATTCATCTCTTCACTGTCACCAATCCATACACTACAACATTACTTACTTAAGTAATGGTCAAACACACAAGTATGTAAACAGTAAACACCCACTAACTACTGATAAATTTCTTATGGTCAGTGTAAATGCAATAGTGTTTACACTTACGATTCACACATACACATACATACATAAAGACAGATTAACAATGAGTGGTTGGAGAATACATAGAGAAAAAAATAATAAATATCTCACACTATTTCAGGAGAATGAATCAATACAGATTGTTATTAGGCGGTATTTGAAAAAAATTAGATTCAAGCTGAAAGTTATCCATCATTCAAGTCAACATACGACCAGGCATAACAGTTCGAGTTGCCACACCTCATATCACCATACCAAGTAAAAAAGCAGTGAAGTGGAAGATAAAGAAAACAAAAATCAGTCAGAAGAAATATAAAGTACTAAAAGAGAGAAAATGGTAAGATTCGGTATAGCCGTTGTTAAGATGAAGATAATGTGTGCATATACATCTGCGCCACTCACGTCGGTTCTCAGCCATGCCATCACCTACAGTCTCCAACCGCTCACTGGTTCCTCTCATCCCGCCGACCTCAACCACCCAGTCAGCATCGCCACACATTGCTCAAACCAACAGTCAAACACTTCATACATTCATACCATGTTTTAGTCTGTCGCCCCACCAACGGAGCCTTTTTCCAGCCTGCACCTACATCGGCCAACATTAGGTGACGAGGCAGACGGCGACTAGGCATACACAACACATGTCCCAACCATCTCAGTCTATGAAGGTTCACAACCTCATCAACTGACTTACCCTTTCTCCATAAAACTCTACATCTCACCTCTGCGTTACTCACGTGGTGACACCACGGAATACGGCGTATACTAAGAAGGCAATGGTAGTCAAACACCTGAAGCCAGCTTTCTCATGTCTTCTAACTTCAATGGCCATCTTTCACGGCCATAGAGTAGAACAGAGCTGACTGTTGTCCAGGTGCAGTACACGCCACCTTTAATATACAATCAGATATTACTATGGTGGCACAGGTGGTGTAAGTTGGCAAAAGCCAACCGAGCCTTTTACATTTGTGCAGAAATTCCATCTGCCACTGATCAACGTATCAGCGCTGATTCTACTTCCCAGGTAAGTTATATGGTTGACACATTCAATCACTTCACTCTCTATTGTTAACCGCGGTGGGACACCGTTGAAGACCAATCCTGAAGCAACAATTTGCATTTGGGTGGAGAGAAACCCATCTCAAATATTCTCAAATTCCCACTCAAAGTGTTCAGAAAACTGCATCTTGTCATAGTCTTCACCTAACGAGACTATGTCATCTGCGTATTCCAGGTCTAACGAAAATTCTCTCGCGATTAGGTCAACGGAGTCGAATGCCGCCGCTTTCAGGTGGAGAAATACAGCTATTATCGGGTGTCGGTAAGCGTGTCTGTGCTCCAGAACCTGGCGCAGTGTGAATATTTGGTCGATACACCCGCAGTCGGGTTTAAAGCCTGCCTGATTTTCTCGGGCTTGCTGTTCCCGAAAGTAGTAACCATTAACGATTGTTCTCGAGAAAGACGTATGCCTCACATTCTACACACGTATAATTACTTCGAGACCGGTTCTCATTGATGCTCCCATTTGGTGCGGCAAAGTATGTTAACAAATTCACTTAAGTGTGAAATTCCAGAAGCAGTGATCAGTTGGTAAAAACTTAAGAAATCCTGAAACGTACATCACAAAAGTTTTAACAGCCTGTGCTTACTTACAACACTATGACGCTGGTTACATAGCAGTATACATATTATGGGCGAATTGTACTTTACAACAGTATGCTTCACCCTAATAAGTTGCTGTCAAATATCATCATTAAAGATGAAGAGTATTCAACCCCCTACATATCTGACTATCGGCTGAAAGCACCG